TATATCATTTAGGGAAAGTATCATAAATAAGACAAACAACGTTTGTATATTCCAAAATAGGACTATCATGCATGTGACGATAGTGATGATGATGGTGGTGGTGGTGAGGATGGTGATGGCGGTGATGGTGATGGTGGTGATGATGGTGATATTGATGGTGATGCTGATTATATGTCAAGTCTCACAACTTCATCCCCAACTTATCTCCATTTAATTATTTTCATTTTATATGTTCACAATTTTTTAAATTCTCTTTCTCCTCGTTTTCACTCAAATTACTTTATTTAACCACTTGTCTAAAAAATCGTGACATTTACTCATGAGAACCTTCCAACGGGATGAAGGGAGGTAATAAAAGCACCTAATCAACTATAATAAAAAATCAAACATTTTCTTTTAATATAAATTTGAGTAGATTATATGAAAAATGTGATTTATGTAATATAAAAAGTATAAATAAAAAACTAAATAACACTCATTTGAAATATATAATTACCGGTCAGGTAATATTTGAAATATCCAATATAAATAACAAGAAAAAAAATAGAAAGATGCGGACCAAGGGGTTTTAAAAAAGAAGAAAACCTATTTGGAATCTCAAATCCAGACCGTGGTTTTTTTGGTAATTTCCTGAAACCCCTACTTTAGTCGGAATAGGCCCTTTCGACTCCCGTGTTTTGAGAAAACACCCTTATAACACAAATTATATCGTGGGATCGACCCACCTTCTGCATGGTGTGCTGATCCAAAACAGTGTCGTTTTTGTTTAGTTTAGGTTCGTTATTCGTTATTCTCTGGCCGCTTCTATTCGTTATTCGTTATTCTCTGGCTGCTGCTACTCTGCTTCGTTTTCTTCCTTCTCTTCTTTTTCTCTTCATTCTCTTCGTTCTCTTGATTCTTGTCTATTACGATTTCAATGGAGTTTTCTTGTGGTGATTCAGTTATTTTGAATTCAAATATTCAATTCGGCGATGTTGTTCCATGTAATATACAAGATAGTTGCGCAATTGATTCATCCGGCCGAACTAATATTTATGGTGATCAAGTTGTTGATGTTGAATTGATCGGTGAGCGTTAACGTTTTCTGTTCGTTCTGCGTTTTATACTTTTGTTTTGTGTTTTGTACTTTTGTTCTCTTTTTTATAATTTTTGGCATTGTTTGAGAATTTGTATTTTTCTATTGATATTTTCTGAGTTTTTTATTCAGGAGAAGAAGATACTGCTGCAAGCGCTTCTAAATTGTTATATCTGCTCAGTAGAGGTACACTTTTCATTGTGAAGCTTCGTGTAACTTTTGGTTATGAGTTGTGTAACTACAGTGAAAGTTTATGTAATATGCATTCGTAGATATGTAACTCATGGTAGTTCTTTTACTTTGGACTTTGGTTAAACTTTGGTTATGTGTTTTTGCACCTGTCGTTAACTATTATGTTAAATGAGGTCATGGATATGTAACTTTGGTTGATTAAAGTGTTTTAGTTGTTGTTTGTTTTCATATGTCTTGTTGTTATAATTTCAGATACATCAGAAATTGTTAACAAGTCAATTGAGAGTAAATCACTTATTGGATTGATTGTCAAGTCTGAACTGTTGGGAATATTTTATGGTGTCCAATCTAATTAAATATCTTTGTATTTGTGTAGTTATTAATTAAATGTGTAATATGGGCCACAAATGTATTTCAGCCCATTAGCCCACTTGTAAGCCTTAAGTTAGACATCCTTATGTATAAAAGGATGCTAACTTAAGAAAACCACAAGTCTCGAACAAGCCTCAACGCACATTAACGCTCATATCTTTCTGAGAGCTTATACGGTATATCAAAGAGGGTTTCACCGATCATCTGCTTCATATCATTATTTGATCCCCCGGTTGTATTACTGTTAGATCATATCATTGCTCTTAGATCTTTATCTGTGAATCAGGGACCAACATGAACTGGAAGCTTACACTCATTATAACAATCATGCTTTTGAAAATGGATTTGGCATTCGAAGATACAAACAGAGATTTAGGAGTGGGAATTTGATTTTGTCTATGAAATCTTACTGTTGTTGGAAAGAAGGGAAGAAACTACAAAAGGGAACAGAAAACAAATCATATACTAAATTAGATTACCGTTCAGGTTGTAAAGCAAAGTTTGCATTTTTCCATTAGCAGTGATGGTGAATGGACTGTTTCTAAGCATATCATTGATCATAACCATCCTTTTTGTCCAATTGGTCAGAGACACCTCCTGAAATCACATCGTGTTGTTGATGAAGAGTATCTAGAATTTATTATGCTGATGAAGGAAAGTGGGACAAAGGTTTCTGATATTCATCATATGCTTGAAAAACAGGCAGGTGGTGTTAGGACTCTTGGGTTCACGAAGCGTGATGCTTATAACAGACTAGAATCTAAAAGGCGTAGAACATTTGATGGTTCTGATTCGAATAGTTTGATTGGTATATTCAAGAAAAGGACTGATTCTGAATCTGACTTTTTTTTTATTTTGATCTGGAAGATGGTACACTATGTTCCTTTTTTGGAGGGATAGACAAATGAAATTTGATTACGAGCGATTTGGAGATCTAGTTGTGCATGATACAACATACAGGACTAACAAATATGATATGATATGTGCTCCTTTTGTTGGTATGAATCACCATTGCAAAAATATTATGTTTGGATTTGGGTTTATTCTTAATGAAACGGTGGAGTCCTTTATTTGGCTATTTCAAACATTTTTGAAATCTATGGGAGGTAAACATCCCATCACTTTCATGACAGACTAGTCTTTTTCGATGTGAGCTGCTATAAAATCTGTTTTCCCTACTTTAAGACATAGACTGTGCACTTGGCATATTGATGAAAATTTAAAGAAACATATCATGTTTCTAAGAAAGAAGTTGAATTTTGTACCTTTGTTTGATCATGTTGTGAAACGACGCGACACCATTGCGGAGTTTGATTTCTACTGGACTGAGTAAGTTGTTTATGCGTATGTAGATTGTTTGTTAATTTGTGTAACTTGTGTTATTGTTATATGTAACTGGTCTTTGTTTTTCCATTACATGTGAGATTGAACAAACTTTATGATCGCAATGACAACGATTGGTTGAAGAGGTTGTACAAGCATAAAGAGAAGTGGTGCCCTGCCTTTTCAAAGGATTATTTTTCAGGTGGCATATTATCTTCACAAAGGAGTGAATCAACAAACAGATCAATATCAAGAAGACTTTCAAAAACAGCAACATTGTGTGATTTTTATCGGATGTTTTGTGATGTGGTTGATAAGTGGAGGTCAGAGGAAAATGGTCTTGATTTCAGATGTTTGGAAGGTACTGTTGAGATGATACTTTGACAGGACAGTGTTTTCTCTCATGCCAAGGATGTATGTACGGTTGAGATATTCAAACTTTTCCAGGAACAATATTTGAAGGGTATGTCCCATTTTCATCAGTTTTTGAATCAGAGTTCTCATGATCGTATTTATCATGTTTGGTTGAATGATATTGATATGATTAGACACATTGTTACTTTTAATGAGCATGACCACACAGTGACTTATACTTGTAAGATGTTTTCGGAAATTGGTATTTTGTGTAGACACATTTTGCGAATATATAACATCCATTGTTTGAAATGTATTCTCCAAGCTTATATAATGCCTAGATGGACAAAGGCTGCTATTTTGCCAACAGTCAGCTCTTTTCTTACACAAGCTACAGATACTATGGTTGGTAAAGTATTGGAAGATTCTATTTGGAGATTCCAAATGACTAGGAAGTTCAACACAGTATTGGCTGGAAGTGCTGGTATACCGGAAGCTAGGGTATTATGTGAACAATGTTATGACTCTATCAGAAACTTCTTAGACATTCAAATATGCGTTTCTGCCGGAGATAAAACTGCTTCAGAACGAAGGAGCATTTTGGATCCTCCACGCTCTCGTCCTAAAGGTCAGCAAAATACACGAAAGAAAAGCACTGTTGAAAAATAGTGTAAAATAATCAAAGCTCACAGGTCCAAATCCCAAAATGTTGCCAGTAATTCTAAAGTAGTTGCCCAATCTGTTGTACAGGTAAATTTGCTATTTCTTTCAAGTTTTTTATATTTAATCTATGTTTTCTCATACTGGTGTTCTTCTCTTATTTTAATTTCAGGATACTGTTAATTTGATGGTTCCACATGACTATCTTGCTCATCCAGTTGGGGAATGACTTCTTTGATGCCTTTTTTGGATCTCCACAAGTTTTCGAGCCGTACTTTGTGCAATCAAATGTTGTGAATCAACAACACATTTAGTTGAAGTAGTTTTTATATTTTTACATTTTGTTGAGAAATGTTCCCAAGTTATTTTCTGTTTAAGCCATGAGGCAATGTGATTGAACATTACTGTGTTTGTTTCTATAAGTTACATTTGGTTTGTAAATACTGAGTCAAATTATGTAACTCGTGAACAAGAAGATGTAACTCGCGCATAAATATGTGTAAATCTTTCATTACACGATGTTACTTAATATAATATTAAATGTAAATAGTGATAACAAGGAGTCCAAACTAAATACTTATAAGTTTACGTAAATAGTGAATATACTTTTTTTTTTATATTTGAGGCCATTTTTTTTAAAAAAATATTTTATTTTTGTAACTCACTCATAACAAGATGTAACTTATGTACAAAAAGATGTAATTTCATTATTATCAAATGTAAGTCCACTAATTGTACCTCATTTTTCACCCAGTAACATCTTTTTATCAACACGAGATACATCATGTTTAGCCTATAGTTACATTATTTAGTCCAACTGTTGCAATCCAAAACTACATAAATTTGCTATGAAAGACAAAATACCATTTATAAGAAGTTGCTCACCAGTTTACATCACATAATATGTGTTGGTCCCATTTATTTCTGCACTTATAATGTGAAAAAATAAATGCGTAAAGTAAATGACACCGGGGATTTTTATAGTGGTTCAAGGAACAACGTGTTCCTCTAGTCCACTGTTCCACTAAGCTTGCAAGTCAACATTTTTTTTTGGAAAAAGGAAATTTTTATTGATAGAGTAAAATTAGTACAATGCGAAAAATAAACTAAGGAAAGAAAATAAAAACAATAAAAGTGCAGGGAAGGAAAAGCCTCAAAACTAAATCCAAAGGAATCCTCTAGACTGAGACATAGTCTTCATACTGTGGCGCTTTTTATTTTTTTGTGATTTCCTGTATATCTTGAGTTGTGTGTTCAAATTTTCTGTCGGCAGACAGTTTTCTGCGGTAACAAACTTGGATTTCCTGCAAATTGCCCTGTTGAATTTTGATTTCTTAATTTCTGCTGTAGTTGAGATAGGTGGACGACGCTCACTTTCAGTAGCATGTCCTAGAAAGTCGTCCATGTAAAAAGAGCCATCTCAGTGGTAAAAGCAGTCTGAAGCATCTGAAAATGCCTGAATTAGCCTGTTCTGTTTCTCGGGAGGTGGAGACCAATGTTTCTCTAGATAGGCTCCCTGAATTTGAAAATAAAAAATGAGCTTGGATATTGATGTGGGTTCCTCTGTAATTAACGAGGTTTCTTGAGAGCGGTGCATTGGTTCCTCCAGCTCTAAATTAGAAATCCCCACAAAGTTTGAAAATATCGCTAGAAAATCGAGTAGCCCTGAATTTTGTGGACCCACTGGGATCGCAATGAAATATCCATTATCTTTGGCCATTGTTATGAAGCCACCAGCCTTGTTAAAATTTGATGAGACCGAGATAGGTCCAAATCGCCTCAGTTGCCGACAGAAAAAATCTTCTGTTGTGAGCTGATAAATATAAAGGATGATTTGAGGAGCCAGTTCAAGATTAAAACTAATCTTGTGAAGTTGAGATATCTTGATCTCAAAAACTGTGATTTCCTCATTTTTTATTCCGAACTTAAAGAGTTTAGATTCCAATTTAATAGAATCAAATCCTTCTTCACCAAAGAATTGGAATTTTTCTACCTCGAATAAGCCATCATTTGTAACCGTGATTATTTCGGCCTGGCCAGTGGGTGATGATTCCCTGGGAGAATATGGCATTTCTCTTAGAGTTAAATTGTTTGGCGTTATTATTGAGAGGGGGTCAAGGAGCTTGTCGATTTTTTTGGCCGTATCAGACCGTAAGAGGTCCGCCCATGTGATGGCTGGGAGGAGGGCCTATCGTAGTGTGCCCAAGCTACTCTGGCTGTCTGAGGTTGCTTTGCCAGCCGTGGGACCTGTATCACAGGGACCTGTACCTGAGGATGGTGGGCATCTACTGCACAGGGATGCGCTGTACCTGCTGTCGGCTGGTGATGCGACCTTCTTCAATGAGCTTACCACCATTCTTTGAGTCGGAGTAACCATTTTCGGTAGGTTGCCGGTCATCGGTGAAGATGCCGACTTTCGGCTGATTTCAGGAGGTATCGTTAACATCTTCTCCCGCCTGAATTGTTGGTAGTTCGCAAATCGACGCCCTTCGACCCTGTTGTTGTTCCTTCTTATTCTGTCGCTATCATTGATATTGAGCAAGTAATCATTTTCGATTGCAGAATTCAAGATTTGGACTGAGGAAGGGAGTTCACTGTCGAATCCGAAGCTATTATGACGATTGGCATTGCCTTTACTAAATTCGTTCTCTGAATTTGGTCGGAATGTCTGACCTGGGTATTTGGGGTATCGTCGTGCCCTGTGTGAGACCATACGCCATCCTTCTTCTTCCTGATTCATGGCCACTGGTGTCCAGTCCAGATGACGTTTTTTAGCATAATATCGGTCCCAAATGTGATTTCCGGTACGACGAGTTCCGGTTTTGAGTGGGTGTCCGGAAAATGGTTTTGAATAGGTGTTGGATTTCCTTTTATGTAAAGGAGCAGCTGGGAATCTGGCCGGGGAGCTCCAGTAGTAGGAGAGGTGCGCAGGTCTCCATGTCCTACCTAGTGGAAGACCTCTGGTGCTGTTCAGTTTACTAAGCTCAGAGTAGTTGTATAAAAAGTTACCTGGTCCGTCATCTCTGTGTTTTGTGGAATTGCAATTCGAATAGCAGGTGAAGGGATTCTAGAAATGATGTTGTTGATTTCTAGTGGTGAAGTATTCTCCATTCCGGTGGGTGCATGAATTGGAGTTTCGCCATGTGAATTTGGCCTTTCTGGGTTCCCTGAAGCCGTACCCATCTATGTTGTGAGGATAATCCCAAGAATTGTAGTTCCCAATGTTAATGAACGGGTGGTGAGGATTCCGGCGAGGCTGCCGGAGGTCCATTTTCGGTAGTCAAGAGGTGGCCTGATTTTTAGAGAGATGGCAGAGCTTCTCTCTCTTCATTTTTGTATTTTTTCTCCCCTATCTGGTCCACCCGACTTTTGATCATATTTGGTGTTCTTTTTGCACTTCTCATCACATATGGTAGCTTGTAAGTCAACAATTACAACGCCTTAGTCCCTAGCACTTAAGAAACACTCCTCGTCTTTTTCAAGTCTAGTTGCCACCCGGGATGCAGTCCTGCTTCCTGATGGCTGGTCTCGTTTAGCTGAGTGTCCTGGAAGTATCCCCACTTCACTTACTCCAGCTAGTTTGAGACGTCCCTTCTTTTTCAAGAAGTGTTTGATTTAAGATCAGTTTTCTCCAACGTAGCTTCTTCACAAAGGATGTGTAGATGAGGCTTTCGAAGTGTTGAAGAACTGTTGGAACTTTGCTTTTGTAGGAAGAAGGGTTTGTTCCAACGTAGCTTTTGTATGAAGTTATAATCTCAGAAAAGCTTGGAGTATGTTTTAAATTCGTAGCAAAAGTTATCCTCGTAGTTCTTTGAAGTGTATCTTATATACTGGGAGCGGTCTTCCCGTTAGAGTGCAGAAGACAGCTTCATTAAATGCTTGTACTGTTGATTTGACCGGTTGGACCTTCGACTTGCAATTTTGGGGGCGAAAGAATATCCGCATGGTCAATCATCAGCTTTAAATATATCTTCGTACGTACCGCATTAATTGAGCATTTAATGCGTGTACAGTACCATGTTCCCGTTGAGCGGCTCCTAGCCGTTAGGGTATTTCCCGTTAGTTTCACGGCAGTTGGAAAGTGCCACCGAACTCTGCTAAGTAAAAGCAAGTCTGAAGAGGTTCACTGGTTCAAACTCTGATGACCGTCTCTGATGCCAACTCTGGTACTTACACTGGTACCCAGCTCTGGTAGCTTCTCTCATGAGCAACTCTGGGAGCAACTCTGGTAGCAACTCTGATCAAGAAGTCCAAGAGTGTCTCTGGCACGTCGACTAAGCTAATACTTACAGAAAGAAATTCTAATACATAATTTCTAAAGGGGGTACTTTCAAATTCTAATTATCCTAGCATCATCAAAATCTAAATACATTTATTCCTTACAATTTCCCCCTTTTTGATGATGCCAAAACCCTTTAACTATTTCCAGAGAAGTGCCTTTCACCATAAAGAGATAAAGTTAAAAAACAAACTTTCATTTAAATCTTTGTGGGAAACTTAGCATAGGAAAATAGTAAGAGTACGGTACATTCAGATAGCAGAGAATAAAGAAAGTATCAGAGCATAAAAGAGTCGTAAACAAAGAGTGCAAATAGGAACATATATTTGAAAGTGCCATGCAAATTAGAGGCAGAGTTGGTATGTTATTATCAGAGAGTTAATAAAGATACAGAGATAGAAGAATTTAAGATTCTTCTTCATCTACCTGTGGTCCTACTTCATCAATTCTCTTGAGTTCATCATTGACTTTGGCTCTGATGGAGGCTAGGTTCCTCGGATTCTAGTAATCTGACCTGTGAGGCTCAAGCTGGCAATCCAAGTAATTTCTTACTGCTTCTGAGATATTCTTGCCCGGTATGACCTTCATTTGCCACCACATATCAGCTTCTTGGATGGATCCTCCATGATTGATCTGGACAAGTCCATCATTGTCCGTGAAAAGATTTTCTTGCTGAAGTGGGGTTATGAGCTTCTTCATCTGCTCATGTGACACTCCAAAAATTTAAAATAATTTTATCAGTGAGATAGAATGTTACAAAAAAATAAGATTTTAATAATCAAGTGATGAGACAAAAAACTTCAAAATTTATGACGTTTTAGTCAGATAAAAATACTTCATTGATGGAAGTAACATTTTTATAATAATTATGAAAATGACGTTTTATATCTAGTACCGGTTATATGGCATAAGTAATAAAGGTTACAAGATAACTATTTTGATTTAAGGTAATTTGTGTATAAAATACACAAAATACAAATTAGACTTTTACTAATATACTCCTAAGAGGTAAACTCCGACTCTAACTTATGTACTACAATAATCCAAAGAAAGAAAATTTAACCCATACGTAGTAATTAATTATACAAAACGTGTGATAATAATATACCTTAGCATGATAAAATGAGCCTACCTAATTGATACTACATACTCGTAAAACTTATGAACTAGACTTACGTATTAACCAAGAAGGAAACCAAAATATTACTCCGTAACATACACACACTCGTACGAACAAAATTGAATATAGCGACTAAATGCATTCAAACTCTACGCACCTTCTATAAACCAGCAAAGGAAAGCTTATAAATGGAATTAAAGGCCAAAGATTCTTGCCATATGAGCGTCGAACTAAAACCATCCTCCTAGGTTATTTATACCCTTCGATCGACGACCTTCACTGCACCAATACGAGCCAAGGCATGCGTTGCAAAGAGAGAAAAAATGAGGGAAGAAAGAAAGAAAAAGAGAGGGTAAAAGAGAAAGATAGATGAAGAACGGGTGTCGCCGGAAGAGAGAAAGCACGTGAGAAAACTTTTACAATCCGTTGGACCTCCGTTGTGGATGCCGAATCAAAGTCCACGCCGCTGGGAATCACCGGACTGTGCCGCTAGGTCATTTTACCCCTCAGTGATCGTTTCAGCCGCCGCAGGAGCTGATACTTGTACGCCGGTTAAGGGCCCAACCTGTTACGCTAGAGAGTTTACCGCTGGACCACGTCCCCAGGAGAAGGAGCTCCATGGAATACTTATCGGATCACGTCACCTCCAGACCGACATGACGCCACTAGAATCACCGTTCGGACTACGCTACAAGAGCCACCTTCGTTGGACCCGCTTCTGTCGACGAGGAGAGCTGCGAACGGATCCCTATTCTTTGAAAGCCAAAGAAGACGAGTGAGTCCACTCTGTTATTTTACTTACTACGTAATACCCATAGTATTATGAGTATGGATTGGACTGATTACTCTCTTGGACTAATTAATTAAATAAGTTAATCTAAGGTGGGATAATAAATCTCAATTTCTAAATAAATGACTAATTCTATAATTCTAATATTTTAGAAGGATAAATTGTAGAAGATCAAGATAGAAGCTTTGATTAGGATTAATCGCGAATCGAGGTAAGTTTCTCTGCCAATCTAAAATTGTTTCCTCGTATTATATGCTTATTATGCATTATGTGAATAAGTGTGAATTGTTGAATTTTGTGTATGAGAATTGTGAAGAGATATTATGTATATGGTTGTTGAGAAATATAAATTAAGTACTTTTGGGGTATTAAATATTTTTAAATACCTTCAAGACTTTTTAGAGAAATTAAGAAGTATTTTTGAAGTATTGTTAAGCGAAGATAAAATTTACATTTTTATAAAAAGTGAGCATCTCGGGAGTAATCCGGGGTGTCGGTTTTCCACATCCGGATAAATGTGGAGGGTGATTAGGTTTGCTACTACTAAGAAGTACAGTTTGAGTTTAAATTGATATTTGGATCGATGATCCCCTTTAAGAAGAAGTTATGGTAGTAGTAATCCCTAATCATTCAAAATATCTTATTCAGGGGTAGTTGGTAGACTGAGTCCCGACTACTTGTTACGACTTACTACTCGGAGGGCTTGGAATCCCTTTTAGGGGGTGTGCACACTTAAGGTAGTCGTTTCGTTTCCAACAGAGCAGTTGTCGTACCGGCACTTGTTCGGGGTGGCCGTCCTTAACCACGGTCCACCGGGCTCTACCGAAAGGTTGAGCACCGCCCTTCTAAATTACTAGGAAGTTAGAGAAGAAGTGATTTTTGAGGAAATCAAAGGGAAGAGTTATTATGAAGTTTTATAGAGAAGTTGAGGATTTTTGTAAAGAAGTAGTCTTGATAAAAATCAAAGTGAAAAGAATTTCGATGGTGTGAGTATTTTTATATATTATTATATAAAAATCTATTTTTGTCAAACATGATTATTTTACGGGGTTGGGTAGTACTTACTTAGCTCTAAAGCTAATTTTTGTTTTCTTTTCCTTGTTTTGTTTCTGCACTTTACTCGTGCAGGTGAGGATGATGTTGTCGAGTGATGATTGCTTGCATGGCCGAGAGCGAGTTAGAAGTCGCCTTAGTTATACTAGTCATGAAATAAACATTTACTTTTCAAACACTTTACTTTTATTAAATTAGTTGTTATGTTCTAGTTGCCTGTGCATCCGGTTGAGAGATGACCGGATGTGGCGGTAACACCCATTTCCCTATTTTAGACTTCCGCTGTATTTCTTTAACTCTTTGATGAATAAATAAAAGTTTTATTTCAATTATGTCAACGTTTTGGGTGGGAAATTTGGGGGTGTTACAAATCCTATGCGACGAGCAGAAAGTGGTCTTAAGAGGACCCAATAAAAAACGTGTATCCTACAAAGCAGTTACATCTAAACCGGGAGTGAAGCTAGCAACCATGCAACAAGTCAAACGATATGCCCGAAAGGGGTATGAAGTTTACTTGTGCAGGATCAAAGACTTGAACTCCGAGGACCCGACCATTGACCAAATCCCAGTGGTCAATGAGTTTCCGGATGTATTCCCAGACGAGATTCCAGGGATGCCACCGGAGAGGGAAGTCGAGTTTTCAATCGACCTTCTGCCGGGCACCGCACCCATCTCAAAGGCACCATACCGAATGGCACCGAAGGAGATGCAAGAACTGAAAGAACAACTTGAAGAATTATTGGATAAAGGCTACATCAAACCGAGTATCTCACCTTGGGGTGCTCCGGTCTTGTTTGTGAAGAAGAAGGATGGGAGTCTGAGACTCTGCATTGACTATAGGGAGCTGAACAAGGCGACCATCAAGAACAAATACATGCTGCCTCGCATTGATGACCTCTTTGATCAACTGAGGGGAGCTAGCACGTTTTCCAAAGTTGATTTAAGATCCGGGTACCATCAAGTGAGGATTTCTGAAAAAGATATCCCGAAGACGGCCTTTCGAACGAGGTACGGACACTATGAGTTCACCGTAATGCCGTTTGGCCTCACAAATGCACCTGCGGTATTTATGGATCTCATGAACCGTGTGTTCCGACCCTACCTCGATCTGTTC